TAGAGTCTTTAATTTTCATGGAAATATCCAGCTGGATTTCACACAGTGGTATTTCATTAGTGGGTAATTGTTGGGTCAATGTGCCTGTTATTTGTTTTGTTTTGCTCATTGGTTGCACTTCTTATACTCTGCTTTTTCAGCAACTTGAACTTTGCGCAACAAAATGCTCAACAGCTTACCCCAAGAGAACATCACTGGTCAGAAATTGCATTAAATGGGAGCAGAGGACCACAGGGACCTGTAGTGGAATGGCAGCAAAGGTTGGGAGCTCATTCTCCTCTGTTTATCCCCAAACATTTGCTCTCTTTCTCTAAAACATGACCTGTAAGTCAGGCTGCCTAATTAGAAAAAGTAATTAGAAAGCTGAAGCAGGAAGGCACCTAGGGCTGAGCTGTTCTTGGTTTTTTTTCCCATACTATGACCTGTCAGTGAGGTAGCAGAGAGCAAAAATTCACTCAGAGCAATCAACATCTTTCAGATGGAGAAACTGCTGGTGAGAGGGAAGTGTGTGATCCTTGCCATGCTGCCTCCAGAGCCTGGCTGGATTGTGTCATACACGGGGTGTGGGTTGCACATGCAGCTGTGAGGGAGGAGGAGGAGTACAAGGAGGAAGCAGAGGAAGAAACCCTCTTCCCTCTTGTCCCCCACATGCAGAAGAGGCAGTGCTGTGAGCAGGAGAGAGGAACTAGGAGTGGGAAGGGGTGACAGAGGGAGCAGGAGCTCACTGAAAAAGCCCAGTGGGTGTCCCACTGCCAATTCAGTGCCCTGTCCCCTGCCAAGCTGCCCCCCAGCCCTGCCACCCACGAGGAGGTGCCGTGGTCAAAGCTGGCTGTGGAGTCCTTGGTGCAGCTTTCAAAGCAGCTCAAAACCAAAACACGGCGATGAAGTGGGAGTTTCTGTGCCAAGTGCCAAGCGAACCTGAAAGGTTAGTTTAGCCTTTAATGAAATTCCTGCTTCAAAGTCTTCCTCTGTCTTCCACCAGGGACATGTGCTTTCTTTAAGCAATGTTTAGAGGACACCAGTCTGCAAGGGTAATCATCCTCGCCTCTGGCAGGAACGGCTCGTGCACTAGCATTTCTAAAAAGCCTCTCTTTGTGAATAATTGAATTTGTCTCTGGAGTTCAAGATTTCTTTTTCTGTGGGTCTGACTGTAGCTGTGCTTCCTCCTTAGGTACAGCTCACTGTAATTGAGGCAGAAGAAATGTATTGCAGTGGAGGGTTTTGTGAGCATGACACATAATGGGGTGACAGCCGTGGAAAAGAGTCATTTGTAGTGTTTAAAATCCTTCCTCCAGTGGTGAACAGACCTGCAGAAAATAATTAAAGGATTCCCCACTGCCATCCTCTACTGCCACCAGAATGAAAAAAAATGAATGCTGCATGTGGTGTTCCTGTGCAGTGGGCCCATCCTCGATGATATTCAGAGCCCATCTGCTCAGGGGACTATCAACCAGGTCAGATGTTTGTCCTAAAAAGAAAACCCTGTGGTTCACACATCCACTGGCAAGGTGTGTCATTTGCTTGAGCACAGCTTTTCCTCTGAAACCTCCCAGCCTTGCAGCGATTTCTGGGTGCCTCTGGAATGGCAGGAAAAACCTGCACATCCCAGATCTGAGACAATCCTCCCTGTAGCTTCTCCACCGAGGAAAAGCCAAATGCAGGTGTGTCCTCCCTCCAGCTGCCCACGAGGTCCACTGGCCCTGGATATGTTTCAGTACCTCCTGGTGACCTGGCGTGTAACATCCGACCGTGGTCTTTGCAAAACTGCCTGTAAGTAACTTTCCAGGAAAGGGGGAGAGTGGGAAGAAACTCTTATAATGATTTGCTGTGAGCAGGACTTCGAGTCTGGCTCCAGGGAAGAGATGTCTCCCTGCCAGCAGGTGAGATAAGTGGCGTGTCTCAGAAGGGGTTTTGCCATCATTTACAGAGGCTGTAAATGATGTGCACACACATGAATGTTGGCAGCAGGATGACTATTTCAGGACCTGGGCTTAAGGTAGGAACTGGGGCAAAACACAGCTCTGAATGGAACAAAATTCCATCATGCTGGGAGGTTTCTTTCTTGTCTGCCTTTAATCACCAAGCACAGCAACAGAGCTGGGTGGCTGCATTCAGCCAACACAATGACACATGGCAGCAGTATATTTTTAGGAGGTTATTTTAGGGGGAGAAACTAATTCTAAGGGCAAGATACAATGATCTAGAAACTCAAACAAGCTGCTCAGGGATTTCTTTGTCTCTTGAATATGCCACACAGCACTTGGGCTGTCTTGTCAATTTGTGATGTGTGTTTCAGATCAATAAAAAAATCTCGTTTAAGACAAAATACATTCTCTCATGGTATAAAGCTTACATGACCTGATCAGCAGGAGAAGCTAAGGTAACTGCAATCATAAATGAAAATCCAAATTTTAGACTGAAGTCAGATTTTCTTAGACTCTAGTATCTGCAGGTAATTTCTGTATCCTTTGTGGTCTTTGCTCTGAAGCGGAAACCAGAACGTATCCCTTTAGTATTTTTATTCCCTTCTGTGTCTGTCAATTACCATGGCTTGACTATTCTGTTCATCCTCAGCTTCAAGGACTTCTTGATCATCTAGGACAGATCTTTCTCAGTCAGATTTCTGAATGACAAGCAGAGATTTCATACCCAGGGAAAATTTCTTTAGCAGCCACCTGGGCATCCAATGCATTTCCTACAAGTGCTCTTAGTACATTTCCTCAGGTAGAAGAGCAATGCAAACAAAAAGAAGATTGTGCAGCAGCATTTATTCTTCAGGATGTGTGGAGCCCTGACGTAGCCTGGCCTGCACTACCAGCTCCAGCTGGAGCCTATTTAAATATGACATCAAAAGTTTGCATATGCACAAATGAGGGAAGTGGCATAGATGTTGTTAATACCTGGCAGGTCACCAAATAGGAAAATGACCGGAATCTTTTTCACTTTTCATTTTGTACCTTGCATGCTGGAGGTATGGGGAGGTCCATGGCTAGCAAAAGTTGGCAGTCAGGAAAATATGTCAGGAGTCAGCTCAGCCAAGGAGTCCCTCCTGAGGGAGGGCACTGCAGGTAGAGAGACGTGCCTGTTTAAGGGACTGTGACACTTGCTTTCTCTTCCCTGAGGAAAGGGCTGTAAGAAGCTCTGTCACAAATTCCATATGGTGGGACGTCCTTGGGCCCCCAAGGATGGAGCTATCAGGGGCAGCAAGCATCCTGCCCATCCGTCCTGCCAAACATCCACACGGTGAAGAGCCAGCACACAACACATATCCACACTGTGTACCTGAGGTGTTCTGCTCTGCTCTTTGGCTTGGGGGAATGATTTATTGAAAAAAATATGGATATTGATCTAGTACCGATATCCAACTGTGACGAACAAAAACTCTCTAACAGTTTAAAGTTAGAAAGTGTGTGTTTATTGTGTGTGGGATGGCTCCCAAATCCACACTGCAGCTTCCAGGTGATTACAGAGCCCTTTTATCCACACAAGTATTGAATACCCAAAATACAAATACATATTCATCATTTTGGTACATCCCATTCCCTGCTTTGTATGCTAATCACTCCAAAAGCTATTAAGCATGCCTAGTTTGTCCCTTGAAATGGGTTGGTGTCCCTTCCATGAGGAGGGGTCCCAAAATGAGGAAGTCAATGAAGTCTTCCTCGTTCTGACCTTTCTACATTTTCAATGCAAATATGACAAATGAACTCTTGGTAGAACTCCCATTCCTTGTCTTCAATTGGTTTCAGAACAGAGGAGGCCACAATTGCGTTATGTTCCTAAAAGCTCTTTGTCAGTCTCAAAATCTTCATTATTTAAATTCTGTGTCAGTTTCTATATTCTTCATTATAAACCCAGCTAACTCAACATTGTGCTGACAAGCAATCAATGATTAGTTAACTACTAACTCCTTACTTGATCTAGGCCTACTCATTTATTATTATTATTTTAATTAACTCTAGTAAGGCTTATTTCTACCTAAAATCTTAGCTCCTCTAAAATCTCTAAATTCCTTAAAGTTTACGTTTCAGGGAAGAAGCGTGATAAGCAAGAACTCAAACCTGTTTCTTTCTGAAAAGCTGCCAACAGCAGCAAATTTGCATGGTTTGCCTGCAATGAGATGCTTTGCTGGCAGGTCTGTGGGTAGCTCATGGAAATGCAGTGTGCTGCCAGGACAGCTCGCAAGGATGCACAGGTGACCTGCAGTAAAGACAGGTGAATCAAGGAATTCACAGGTCTTTATTGCAGGAAATCAAGGAATCAACCACCAATCCACCTGAGGGTGCTGCCATTCCCAAAACTGACATCTGAAGGACATTAACCACACCAAGGGACATTGTCTCATGTGATATCGGGATTCATCAAACTGCAGAAAATAATTTGAGTTCTTCTTAGGAAGAAAAAGGATGGGGGGGAAAGTGAATGTAGAAATGCTTATTTCAATCTGTATTAATTTCTGGAGATAGTTTATGATGTTTTGCTGTGTTTTTAAAAGCTACTGAATGTACAGTGTATAGAAATAGTATATGTGAGACTAACTCATGAAGAAAATTAGCAAAGAAAGAAAATCAGCTTTTTTGTATGCTACCTACCTTATAGTACAAAATCACCACTGTTGGAGGAAATATTAAAGAAAAATTCCAACAGCTAACCTGGCACCACCATGATCACCCCTAAAATATATCCCTGGAAATTATATATTCAGACTTATGTACCTGGCATATCTTTGAGACGGTGTAAATCAGTAAACTTCTTACTCTGAGTTAATCTGAAAAGGCAAAGGAAAAAAGAATTGGTTTTCAACATGGGCTAAAATGTAGGTGATGTTTTTATCTTAAAGGTTTCACAAGATATACTTATTTTATCACTCTGGCAGGAAACTGAGGCTTTCAGTTTAATGAAGCATTTCTTTGAAGTCATGCTGAGTGAGTGTGCTGCACATCTGCCTGTCTGCACGGGGCAGGCCACTTCAACTTCCTTTTCTGAGGGAGCACCAAGAGAGCTGCACATTCACCAGAACTTCAGCAAGTGAAGATGAAAGCAAGGTGGCTTTTCTCTCTCTTTTGTTTGCTCTCAGTGCCCAGTGTCACAGGTAAGAGTGGGACAGGGGGGATGCCCTGACTCAGTTTATGATGGCAGGTGGTGAGGGGCAGGCTGGGATTAGTGGGTGACCTGTAGCTACTGGTGATGATTTTCTATTTCCTGACAACTTTCTAATAATAACCCTAGTTATAATGTGCAGCTAGTAAGGAGTAAATGGCTGGTGCTGAGCAGATTACTTAATTCAACATTCTTATCCTGCTGGAATAATCACTGGGATGAGCTCACTTGAAGTTAGGGCAATGTGTGCTCCTCTCAAATGGGCCAAAAGGAAAACTGCTTCCAATGGGAAAATAAAAAATACCTCTCTGTCTCTGTCTTACATACCTGTGTATGCAGAGAGAGGAAGAATTTAAATACTTCAACTCAAGAGTAAATTGTACAGGTGCAACCCCTTAAACAGATTCTTCTCCACCTAGCCCCATGTGCTAACATCTTGAGGAATAATTTTGTCATTCAAGTAAAACACTTAGAAAAGCTGACTAAGGAGGGCGGCACCTTTGTCAGAGGGAATTTAAACCAAAAGCAAACCGAAGAAAACCAAGAAAAGGTATGGAGTTCACAAAGCTCCACCTCTACCCCCTCAAAATTCTGACCAATGATAAATGCAGGAATACATATTACCAGTTAGAAGCAACAATTTTATAGGATACAGAATTTTTCATTTAAGAAGGGAAAAACTGCATGTATTTGATGAGCACGGAAGGATGCTAATCTCACAATCTGGCATAGGCTGTTCTTTTTTTGTTACATCACTGAGGCAAACTGGTTCTTAAAATAAAATAATTCATACATGTATTCATACAAAATAGAAAATCTCAAGTGTAAAGAAAGGAACAGAAGCCTCAAAACATGTAAGAAAGAAATAGCAATTACAGAAAAACAGTAATTGGAGGGTTTTTGTCCCTGAGGATGAAATCCTCACTGAACTCATTCAAAGATGAAAGTAGAGGCCTCTATGCCTTTTGTGGAAATCAGACACCTAAAAGTCTGGGAGTTATTCTAAGAAATTTCAATTGGAGCATAGGTATGCACTAACGGACACTATTTAATTTTGAAAAATAAAGTTAACATAAATTGAGATTAATTATATTGAGATGCTAGCAAAAAGTTAAGAACACTTTTGCACAAAATGTTTTCAGTTAAAATATTGTAATGAGCTAGGCTATTAAGAAATAATGCAAATTAAAATGTTGTTTCTACATATATAACTTTTTCAACTTAAGATAAATTAGTCAAGTGGTTCTTCATAGGCATTCTTTATATGATTCTTAGATCTAAGGCACCAGCAGCATGAATATGAGAGAAAAAATGCTGCGTGTCTCTTGCTTGATAGTCTGATTGCAAGATTCCTAATTGCTTTTCCCTTAACTTTTACTGATGCTAAACCTATGGTGAAATCAGAGAGCATTTCCTATTATAAGCTCCCTGGACTAACAAAAGTAGCTTTAGTAGTTTTTCTCAACAGCACAAGGCTGAGAGACTTGTCATTCAGGCTTATTTTTATTTACCCTCTTACATCATCACATCCCTTATAATAAAAGATGAGCAGAACACGTGCAGCAATGAAACAGCAGAGTTTAATGTTGGCCATGGCCATTCAGTAGCTTTGTTCTCCACACATCTGCAAGTGTCCATGTCACCCTTCAGTGTACAGGTACCAAACTGGAGCCAGCTCTGTGTCCCTCTGCCCTTGTGCTTTTTCCCTGTCAAGCCAGAGCTGAGGGTGCACAGGGTCCCTGCCTGGCTCCTTCCTGGCTGAGCTGGGGGAGTGTGGGCCACCCTGCAGCCCCACTGAGGATGTCTGAGCCCTGGCAGGGCCCCTCCTGCCTCAGGTGCCCCAGAGCCATGTACCACACAGGAGAGCAAATGGCAAAGCAAAGGAATTGGTACCCAGCTTTCCCAAGGAAAGAATGTGAGCAGTGGGCACTTGCAGCTGGCAGGGCTGCAGGGCAAATTCCCAAAGCAAATATTACAGGGATGTTATGATACACAGGGAGGATGATAAAATGGAATGTAAATGGGAGGCAACAAGTCTGTACTAAAGGACAACTGCACAGCTCTTTTTTTTTTCCTGTGGACCCACTCGTCCTTTTGGAAAAGGGAGTTTTTGTGTACAGCTCTATGGAAGTGATTGATTACACATCTCACTGCAACAACCCCCTCCATAAATCCTTCATCTCCTTGAGTTTGTCAGTGCCCTGCATTCAGGGGTTTGGGGACTGCCAGACTCTTACTCATAGGAGGGAGAAAGGGATATAAATCAATTCTACTACAACAGCAGCTAAACCAAGTGGTACAGGCTCCTGCTGAATGCCCCTTCATTCCATCGATCCATTACTCCTCTACATGGCACACTGAGGACTGCCACCTGCTTTATGAAATTAATAGAGGCAGAAAACACGCACACTAGAGCAGCTTTGACACAGACAGACACTGGTTTAGCACATGCAGGAGCTGTTTAATAACACAGAGAATGGCTTTCTCTGCTGAAGCCACAAAGGCGATGGGCAGGGGGATGTGCAGGGAATTAGCCAGTGGGGATAGCTCATTTATTCTTGCAAAAAAGAACTGGGGAATAACTATGTCCAGCTTCTACTTTATTTATATTACTTGAAAGATTGGCATTTTCACAGAGGCCCTCAGAGCTCTCAGTTCTCTCCAACAAGTGTGACAAGACCTCCCTGGCCTCTTCCAGACACACATGCATTTGCACTCCCGATTTTCTCTCTTTTCAGAACTGGTGGAGATTTGCTGGGAAGCTTGTGCTTACAGTTGTAGGGTCTTCACAGTTGTGTGGCTAAGGCACCAAATCACCTCAAAGATGGATTAGGCAAAGCTTTGCTTGAACATTACTTGCACTGAAAATGATCCTGTTTGTTTTTTAAGGCCAGACTGTGGATGTCATTACCCAGAGAGAAGTGGTCCATGCCCTGCCAGGTGCTGACGTGACCCTGGCATGCCTGTTCCCAAAACTGCACAGCATCCACATCATACAGACTCAGTGGTCCAAGACTGACAGCAGCCCCTCCACCAAAATAGCTGTGTATCACCCCTCCTATGGCACACATTACTTCGAGTTTTCTGAGGCTGCTTACAACTTTTCAGTGTCCTTCAGCACGAGGAGGTGCTGCAGTGGGGACAACGCAGGATCCTTGTGTTCCTCCACTCTAAATGCCACATCTGAATGCAACTGGTGGGTGCTGCATCTGGAAAATATCACCATGGCCCTTACTGGGCAGTATGAGTGCACTTTTGCTACTTACCCATATGGGACAAAGGCCAAAATAATTCAACTTACTGTCAAGGCAGAAGGTAAGTGATTGCAAATGAGATTTTGTTGTTTCCTAATGAGGTAGAGGAAGATATCAGGATAGATGAACACTTCTTTGTTGGTGATGGTGACTTGTTTGGGATTCACAGTAGCACCACTGAATGTTGCTTTTACAGTTTCCTATTTACCAGGCACTCTAGCTCTTTCATCCAACTTATAATTAGGAAACCTTAATTGTTTGGTGGAATAAAAATTTCGATAGTAAAGTGAAAAAAGGTGGTGAGGTGGGCAGTTTCTGCATTTTCATTTTGGAGAAACATTGTGGAGGAGACTGGATGAGCAGGTGAGGATATGGTGGGACTAAGGATGTTGGATCTCTTGTGCTGCTGCTGTGGGTGTTCAGCACTGGGAGCCATCAAGAGAAAACACCCTTGTCTGACTGGGGCTGAGGGCTGGCATCTGCAGAGCATGCTGGATGTCAGCTCCATGGAAGGATGAGTGTCCCCACTGCAGCCTTGTGAAGGCTGACCTAGAACAGAGGCTAGACAGAGTTAAACAATAAAGCAGGTATTTATTAAAAGGCCTCAACAAGGTGCCAAGATACTCCTTAGGCAGCACAAGAGCCCAGCCAGGGCTACACCCAAGATGATCCCAAAATGGTCACAAAATGGACAACTGGTCCCAAGGTCTCATATTTTTAAAAGTTTTGGTCCGTTTGCATATTCAAGTTAATTGTCCAATTACAGCTTTAGGGTATGAAGTCCCATCCTTCTTGTTTTCTCTCTTCAGCCCACCGTTGTTTATGCTCTAGTACCAATTGTCCTTGGTCCCAAGCTAGAAAAGGAATTGTTTTGTTTACTTAAACTGTGAAGAGAGCTTACCAAAGCTTAATGTGAAGCTCGGAACTACACACTAAAGCAGCACAGAAACTGAAAATATAAAAGCTAAAACTTAAGGCATCACCACCACCAAAAATACACTGGAGCAAAGTGGGGAATTGCTTAGGAGAATCACAGGAACGGAGATTTGGCTGGTTCTGTCAGGCAAAAGGAAGCTGGAAAGCAGAATGGCTGCTCTCAGTGAGTAAGCCTCAAGGGAGAGTGTGAACTCCAGGAAGGATATTTAAATTATCCTGGTAAAGGAACAAAATTATTTAAATCAGATGAGAATGGGTTTGACAACAAATTAAAAAACAGTGGCAATTGTCAGTGTAGCAACTTTGGGAACAGCTATTTAGTGTTAGTGGTGAGGGCAAAAGCCCCAACTGCTGTGAAGATGGAATTTAATATGGGTGTTGAGCAAGCCTGTTGTTGTGCACATGGGGAACTGGATTTGATGACCTCAGAAACCTCCTTCTGACCCAGGTTTCTGCTAACAGAAGGATTAAAGTAAGTGCAACAAACCTGGCACTGTTTCACTTCGGAGCTGCAAGGCCAACGTGCTCACTCTGCTTGTGCCCTGGGCTGTAGACACAGCAGACATTCAAGAGTCAGGAGCAGGGTGGGTGCAGGTTATTTTAGGGGTATTTTGGTGTTCTCCCACTGCCTTTTTACCCACATCACAAGGCCAGGCTGGTTGTCCCCACGCTGGATCACTCCTGTGCAAGACTCAGCTCAGGGATGGATGTCTAACACTGACAGCCCTGCATGGCAGTGTCTCCAAGAATTTTGGTGCTGTTATCCTGGAGACACATCTGGGGCAGCCCTGGAGCACCTGATGAACTCGCAGAGGCAAAGTGAGAGCCAGCACCTCTGCCCAGCTCACAGAGGGTGGGTGTGTGCTACAGTGAGCTCATGGGCACTCTGTTTCCCCTTCCCTGGGATCCTGTGACTCTGATCAAGATAACCCTGGACCCTCCTTCCTGCCCCAACGGGGCTGGCAGAGAGCCAGGGAAGCCCACCCTGTCCAAAGTCTATATAGACCCCTGACATTTCCTGTTCGTCCTCTTTTGCCCTGCTCTCCACATGGACATCACAGAATAAAGAGAGCTGAACCAACATATATTGGGGTAAGAGCCTCTTTTGGAAATCTTTGCCATCTCCTGATATTCCTCCCCTCACAGCCTGCTTACCTCTGAGCTAGCCTAGGATATTTAGGGGGCTGTGCAAGGGGGGGAACATCAGGTGTGTTTAAACAGCACACGCTGAATAATTGTGCCAGAGCTGAAGCTGCCACTCTGCCCACTGCATAGGGATGTGCTGTGGTAGGTTACCCTTCTGGAATTTCCCTGTGCTCCACAGGGAAGAGGGATCCAGGGGAGGGCAGTGAGGTACAAATTGTGCTGGTAGCCCTGTGAAACCCTCCCATGTTTCTGTTCTTCATGCTCAGTTTCTGCATCTCTTCCTTAGTGCAGTGTCATTATAGGACACGAGAAAGCACAGCACGAGCCACTGCAATGGCAAGGTAAAGAAGAAGAAAGTTTATTTTCTGACTCCAACTTTTATACTGTTCCAAAGGTGACAGTGGATTGGAAAGTGAATGGGCCACCTCTCCAAAGACATTGGACAAACCACCAGTGCATCCTTCTTCCACCCCCATGAAGGAATGCAAACCAATATGTTGTTTATAGAAAATGTGTGGGAAGGTTCTCCAACAGAATGGAAACTCAGAAGGCTTTAGAAAATCTTAAGAATCAGGGTGACAGTGCAGTAACTGAGCTAATTGGGCATTGCTTCTCTTCTCCTGCCCTTGGTTGATGCAGACAGGTTCAGTGCTGTTATTGCTGTCTACAGCGTGGGCAGCTCTTGTTCATATCAGCATCATTGTGGCTTTTTTCAGTAACTACGAGATGTAGCAAGCTGTGCTACTGATGACTGCTTGCTGGAGAGAACTAAAAAATTGAGTTTGGCACCTTTTGCAGGTTTGTGTCTTAAGGTAACTGGATGTTCTGCAATAAACCACTCTGACTCAAAAGGCAAAAATCCGTAATCCTTATGAGTGAGTGGGATGGATAAAGGTGACAGTCTATGATGAAGTACAGTTTTCATTTACATCAAAGTGAAGTGAATCCAGAGGCACTCGACTTGTAAAAAGCTCACAGAGCAGCATGCCTCCATAGGACAGAGAGGACACAGACTTTATCCAACAGGCTGTTAATGGAGATGGGAGTCAGAGATGGGAGGGGAAAGCAAGCAGCTGGGACATGTGGCTGTGAGAGTAGGCAGAAGCTGTTTCCAGACTGAACTCTGGGGTGACTACTCATTTGTTGTATCATGCACAGCACTTCTGCCTGGTGGTTTGTCCCAGCAAAATCTTCTGTACAGTTTTGTTCCTGGAGAAACTGTAGATTTACTTGCTTTGTCCTTTCATTATCCTCTCTGCACTGCCCAATCCTGTTAGGGTTTCTGTGCTCTGTGTCCTGCTGTGAGAGCTGGCTCCTCATTTTCTTTATTCTCAGGGACAATGGAGGGAAGCTGCTTCTGCTGCTGGCTCTCCTGGGCACAGCTCAGGGCTCTGCCTTTCTTCACACCTCTATGGCACAGGCTGCATGCTGGCACCATTGCTTGGGTGCCAGCCACAAAGGAAGTTTCAGCCACCAGAAAGTCCCCAGTGACAAATAGCATGGCAGTGTGGGACAGCTGGATAGTCTCACTCCCCTCAAGATGAGAAATAAATTAAATACATCCCTGTTCTAGCTCAACATGCAAGCCAGAGCTGCCAGGGGAGCAGAGCTGAGGAGTTTCCCTGTGTTGTGTGCTGGTGCCTTGCCTCCAAGGAGGAGGGAAGGCAGGTCTGAAGGCACAGGAGGATGGCAGGATGTGCCACATCCCTGCCTGCCCTGTGGCCAAGGGTCAGTGCTGACCGTGGCACCCACAGCATCTCCCACCCATCACCACTGCTCTTCCTGCTCAAATACACACTCCCAGACACAACATCTGGATCACTGCCCCACTCTGCCCAGCCTCCACAGCTGGATGGAGCCCTAGATTGCGAATGAGTAGGGTAGGGGGTGGTGAAATTATTTTGATATTGATAAGAAAGGAAAGAGTGACAAGTTTTGTGGTAGTGGGCAGGTTGGAGAATAACAAAAGAATAACAAAAGAATAACAAAAGGAGCACTTACACTGAAAACCAGGGTTAGTCTTAACCTAACTGACATGCTGAATAGCTTGCTTAGTGAAAAAAAGGTCTGCAGATATCTTCAGAGAAAATGAAATGGAGGTGCACAAAATTGATGTGAAGGTTTATTTGCCACAGGAAAGAAAAAGAATTGTAAGATAAAATCTGAAGCTTCCAATTATTCTCAGCTCCAAAAGGAGACATCGTGATCCTGCAGTTAAGAAAAGCTTTTTTAAGAATTGCCAAAAAGTTCAGGTAATGCTGTGAATTGAGTCATGAAACTGCAACTAGAATCAGATGCATGGCTTTCACTTAAAAAATGTGTCTAGGGGTAATGGTTGAAAATTGCAGTTCCCTTCTAAAGCAAAAAGTGCCTGTTCCTTGAACAGAAGACTACTCAGCATTGGTTTTCAAAGCACAATGAATGTCATGTTTCTGATTTTCCTTCTTGCATTTTGTTGTTGTTCCAATGATGAAAGAGGAGAGGCACTACCTGAAGAAAGTGTGGTTAAAGCAGACTTTAGAAATTCCATGCCTTGAGGATGCGACCTCAGAAAATTTGTCCACTTATCCTTTGAAATGGCTAGTGGTAAGTATTTTTCATCTCAGATATAAAGTTCAGAAAGAACTACAGGGTATTTTTGAAAATTGAAATGAAAATGTTCTACTCTGCTGCGTCCTGCCTGCAGAATCTGCTAAAAAAATTACCAGTCATATTGGACTGTGATAATAAAGGGGAAAAGTATAACCATAGGCTTGCAAAATATACACTGCACATAATACCTGTTCAAGAAACAAAGAGGAAAAAATCCATCTTAATTGCTTTGAATTTTTCAGGAGCATGTACAGAGAGGGTCTAGGAAAAAGTCTAATATAACAAAACTAAAATATTTATTGTATTGGATTTCCAGTGAGCTTTTCTGTAGTGAAGCTTTAGTATCTGAAAAATACATGGTTACTCTGTAGGATAGTGAGATATCAAGCTGTTTTGACATAGAAAAGAAAGGTACTGGCTAAAGTTTTTGGTTTTGTGTCACAGATGCCACTGAAGACATCAAACCCAGTTATCAAGCTAACCCCATGAAAAACTGGTTTTAAGCAATTTTCTGTCAGATACAAAGCTTGCTGTATTTTTGTACTTTATCTCACTTTCTGGATAACTATTTATATTCATGTTTTAATGCAACCTTTTAGCATTCATTTCAGTGTGTAGAGATAAGTATCTGAGCAGTGTCCTTGAGCTTTTCCTGTTCATTTATATATGTTGTCACTGATAAGCTGTAACTCTTGAGGATTTTTTTTAAAGTGATTTTCAAATAGTTTAGGTTTTTTTAACCTTCTGTCCTGGTTCATCATCTATTTAGATCTCCCTTATGCAGGTCATTCATAATATTAAAATTTTAATTTTTTTTTTTTGTAGGGAACACCCTTACCTTTACTACATCAGCTTTGCCAGTTCACTCTACAAAGTAGCAGAGGAAAGGGGAAAAAAATCCCCAAAGGTCAGCACAGTGATATATGTGGGTTGTCTTGCATCATACAGAGTAAAGCTTGCAAATATGTACTGGGGCACAGATGTCCAGGACATGCTGGCTGTACTTATAACCAAGGGTGTCTGCCACACAGACAGTGAGACAAATTTTAGTTATTTTTATCAGGGTTTGTTACTTAAAATTCTGTAAGAGCAAAGTTTTCGTTGACAGTTCAGTCACATCTCATATGTATGGGATGTCCAGCATAACTTAAAGACTGGTACAGTGAGAAAGCACCTCTGGTGCTCTCTCTGCAGGCTACAGAGAGCAGGACTCACAAGACACAGCTATTTATTCCATATTTTATTGTCAAGATGATGACTGCTCTTAGTATTGAAGTCCTGAGAGAGAATATATTTGGAAAAAAAAAAAAAAAAACCCAGATGTTGCAAATATCCACTTACTGCTACACAATGTGCAAGGGAGACTTTTCATAGTGGGAATAGAGCTGACTTACACAAATATTTCTCTGTGTGTGTGTCTGGACTTCACAATTTTGTTGTTTTTTCTGTACACAGGATGAAAATGGGAGGAAGGAGGAACTTGTGACCAAGGAGCCCTCTTGTCCTGCTGTGTACAGGAACAGCAGCATGCTGCATGGGCAGAGAGTCCTCCTGGGTTTGAACAACACTCTAAAGGTTTTCCCCACCAAAATCACTGATGATGGCAGAGTCTTTTCCTGCCACGTGCTCTACCACCCAGAGAGAGTCCAGAAGAGCAGCACCACTGTGAGAGTATTTGGTAAGGGGCTTTTGCCAGCTGCCTTGCACTTGGAAAGGTGTCACTCCTGTCTGGTTCTGAAACAAATCACTTTTGACAGATACTGGGGTTTTTTTTAATGTAAACATATTTACCTTGTCATTTTTTCCAGCTGCAATGACATAAAATGGTAGTTAATGGTAGTAAACCCTGGAGATCTTAGAAGAATTTGAGTCACTTCCTTCAATTTTTTGCAGGAAAAAATAGTAGATTCATTGCACATATATCAATCTCACTGTCATGCAGATGGCAAGAATCTTACCCTGAGGTTTATGTTGGGATTTTGTAGGTTACAGGAAAACACACTGGTCATCAAGATCTCCGTGTCCCAGTGCTGTCTGTGGTTAGGAAATCATGGCCACAATTTAGGAAGCAGTTTGGGACTACAGCTGGAGTAAAATGACATCCTCAAGGGCATGTGACAGTCAACTGCTGCCAAAATGAGGACATGAGGGTCTGGAAATGAGGGTCCTGGTGGGGGGGTCTCAAACTGGAGTGGCAGAGCCTGTGTACTGCAAACGTGGGCTGGCATTTCATTTTGTAAGCCTTCCCCATCTTCAGTTATTTCCTTGTTCCCTTTCAAGTGGCGTAGGAATTGCTCTGCTGTCACTAAGGTACAACTGAATCAGAAAATTGCTACCCACTTGAAAACCAGACTTTATTTTGTCTTTAGAGATCAGTTGGTCTGGAAAAGATATTTCCAAAGCTTCAAAAGTAAATGAGTATTAACCACTGGGCCTGTCAACAGTCCCTTGGCTGTAGTTGATTGTCCAAGGAAGCCCACAGCTTGAGGATGGCACGGCCATTCAAGGCTGATGCTCTGAATTCAAAGTTCAACAGGGAGCAGATGAAAAAGAGCAAAATGTGTCTGGAGGCTGTTGGTCACTGATGTAAAAGAAATAAAAATAGAAGTTAATGATCTGAAACCTCCTCTTACGTTTGCATGATTCAGACGCTTTCTAAAATCAACATTTCTCAAATATCAACAGTGTTACCTGGGTAATCATTCAAGGATACTAATATACTTGAACTCTCTTCCATCACTGCTGATGTTCTTGCCTAGATTTGTGTGTCTCTTACTGAGTGGTCGCTTTATTTAGCTTTTTCTCTGAATTACTGCGAGATGTGTGCTTAGCTGTGCATGAACCCATATCAAAACATCAGTACAGCAGGGCAGAGAGGCAAACTAGAGAAAGCAGGTGGTGAACAGCCTGCATTTCCCAGTGAGTGCTGGCTGGCTCTGCACCTGGGTGCTGAGCCCCCAGCCTCTCTCACAGGGCTCCCAGGGGCAGAGCTGGGTGCAGGGGCTCCCTGAGAGCCCTGAGGTTTGCAGAGGCTGCTGAGGAAAGCCTCTCAGACCCCAGCCAAGTAAAGTCCACCACTGGGAGGAAGTGTTCTTTTGTGCTTCTGGCCCTTTCATGTCTGAATTTTGCAGGTGAAATAATTATTTTGCATCCTGTCTCACTCTTTCCTGTTACCATTTGCTGAAGTCATGCCACTTATGATTGCACCAGCCCAGCCTTTCTCCATCCATGTTCTGTCTGGTGCTGCAGCAGGAGGAGAGACCAAGAGCAGAGGGCTCAGAGCCTGCCCTGAGCCAGCCCACAGCACTGGCAGACACTGCCCAGGATAATCCAGCATTCTCTAGGTGACATCTGGGGACACAGAGGCCTTTCAGATGGCAGCACCTCTCTTGTGCTGTTCCTTGTGCTGACCAGAGAATAAAGAAATGAATATATTTGTGTTCTGGCAGTTTGGGACAGAACCTGGAGATGGTGTATGCATACAAAATCAACAGCACCTTCTGTTGGGTGTATCTGTCATCCTGGCCATTAGCAAGGGCACAGCTAGGGAAAAAAGGCCAGTGGAAACCTGGGGAAGTTTTTCCATTTTGGCAAGCCAGCATCTCCTCTGTCACCCAAAAACTCGTGCCTGAACTCCTCAGGCTGGGTGGATAAAAGCAGGGCAGGGAGGGCAGGCAGCTACTGCAGCTCAGAGCTGAAAGGGCCAGGAGGAGGAGAGGGTGCCTGGGGAAACTGCTCATGCAGGATCCCTCTGAAAAATATCTCAAAAATACTTCAGGCAGGGCTAAACACAGCAGAGACAGGCTGAGTCTGAGGGGTGCTAAATAATGTTCCCTCCCAGCTGCTTGAGGTGGCCCAGGTGGGGCTGAGGATTGGACAGGAGAGGATGGAGAAGGCATCAAAGATCTCTCTAGGAAGGTCTTGGTATGTTGGGTAAAAACATTCAGTCAAGATAGCTTTTTTCAAGATGGTGTTTTTGGATTGAAATACTTAAAAATATTTCTCTTCTGGAATAGAGTTCTTTGAGATACAAGCTGCTGTGAAAATATATGGCCTTTTCATGTCTAATTTTGCCAAATATTGATTTCTCCTTTTTGTAAGAGCAAAAGCCCAGCAGCAGAAACTACTGAACTAAATATTGAATTTCTGCTAGATCCAAAACATTGGTAAATATCCTAGCAAGACAAATGAATGTCAAAGTGTTAACAGGGGCTGAGATGTTAATTGGAAAAGATCTATTAGACCACTCAGAGCTCTGTGTGAGAGCTGCCTGCCAGAACAGCTACCAGCAAACACATCTGAGAAAGCAGAGGGCAGTGCTCAATACAGGTGTGGCAAAGCATACCCATTCTCATCAAAAAGACAAAAGGAAGAGCATGCACTAGACCAGACATCATTTAGCCTCCCAGCCAATTGCCAGCAATTAGAAGATACAGTTTGCCAGATTTTTCTCTGTATCTGAAAAAGTCTGTCTGTCTTCTGCCAGCTCCACCATCATCTGTACAGTTTTGGCAAAGAAGAAAGAATGAAAACTTAGGGACATTCATTTCCTGATAGGAAGAATCTATAACCCCTGCCCTACCCCACCCTCCAAAAAAGCAGAAAAACCCAAAACCCAGAAGATATTAAAAAAATAGGAAATTCCACTCAAAAAAGTAGCATAAGACCAGAAAACCATAAGGCCATGATAACTAAATGTAAGTCATGCCCAGGCAGAATCCATCAGTAGCATCAGGCAGAAAAATGGAAATTAAAAATAAAGTCAGGCGAGTCCTTGGTGGATTAGCTGTATAAAACAGGGAAACCTGAATAGTTCACCTCAGGGGGGAATGTAATTAACTGAGGTGGTGCTATATCAATTAACAGGGCAAGAAGAAGAGAAAATTATTATAATGGTAGAGATTAAAGTGAAGTTTAGGTTGGAAAGATAAGGAATTTTGGATCTCCTAAGTAATTCAGGGAGAACACTTGTTTCCGGTCCAGTTTCAGGGCTCAGAAAGGGCCAGAAGCCAAATTCATCTGAGGCTTTTGAGATTTATTTTATATTAACACAATTTCAATTGTCCTTACTTAACAAGCCAACATTGCTCCAAACCAAGCATCACAATGGCTAATTTGGAAATGTAGTTTAGAGAGGCTTACAGCTCCTGATAGCTTTAATTTATACAACCAGCTGTGCCCAGATTCAAAATGCTGCAAAAGCAGAAGAAAACAGCTTTTTGTTTCATGTGGATGTGGTCATCAGTGCCCTGCATCTGGGCTTCCTGGAAGGGCAGGAAGATCTGTGGGGGTCACTGTCACACATCTGGCCAGGCAACAGCATCTGGGTGGCTGGCATCCAAAAGCAATCAACATTTGGGGGATGGCTGCAGCCTTTGGGGATAGCTTTGGCAAGCACACAGAGGAAGCAGAAACTGGGGGGGGTGTGTGATTTCATGGGGCCCAGGATGGGTGGCAGAGCTGCAGGATGGTTTCAGTTCATTTCCCCAGAAAAGCCACCCAAGCCTAGCTGAGATAGGTGGTGAAATGCATCCCGGATCCTGTGGCAATAGCTGCTGGTACAGCCTTGTAAACCACTTCCTTGGCCTCAAATTGCAGCTGTAAGCACTTTTATCTTTGCTTGATGTGTGGCTGGAGGTAGGATTTAATTTCCACTCTTCTCATGATGCAAGGCTATTGGTGTTATTAGAAGCTGTTACTGTGGTCTGTAGTGTCCATTTCACTAATACATTTATTTTTGCCTTCCAGCTTACCCTGAGATCCTCATTAGCCTGGAGAGGGGCTCAGCCAGCACCTCGCAGAAGGTGAGCAATTTTGGGGCAAAGAGTGGTGCCTGTGACTGCCAGCAGTGCCAGGCAAGCTGAGATGAATCAGGCACAGGAGGCATCCTCCAAACTGAGCTCACAGGGCAGCGGGCAAGGCACGGAGTTACCATGAGGTGCCCTTTCCTCCCAGCCACCCCCACAGCACTGAGCACAAACCAGGGCCAGCTAAGCACTTCCCTGGTGTACAGACCTCTGTTTCAGTTTTGGTAATGGCAAAACCTAAAAGCCTGCTGAATTGCACTGGCCCATGCTTGGCATAAAACAGATTTGTGGCTCGTATGACTGACTAGTAAGCCTCTCTGGCAATAGCAGTGGTGCTTTGCTTCCTGTTCCACCTCTCCAAGCTAAAGCTTTTGATCTGCAAGTTTCTCAAATCAAGAAGGTTTTCTTTGGAAATAGAGCTTGTGGGCAGGCAGAACCTTGTACTGTCCATAACCACCCACTTCACAGAATCCATCAGTCACTTGGTGCTGCAAACTGGTAGAATTTTCCTGGTGACCTATTTCTGGGTGTGGTGTTGGACATTTCAGGCTTTTGTCTGCACTGTCCCATTGAACAGGGCAAGGGGTGCTGCTATCACAGCACTGGGCAATAGAAACTCTTCCAAGAGCCTCTGTCTGTTCTTCACCTCCAAACAAATGCAGGCTTCTTTTTACTTCTCTTTTCTGCCTTTTTTTTTTTCTTTTTTTTTTTTTTTTTTTTTTTTTTTTTTTTTTTTTTTTTTTTTTTTTTTTTTTTTTTTTTTTTTTTTTTTTAGTGCTTAAATCTAGTGAGGATATCAGATTTCTATTCCTTCATAGGAAGAATTGATAAAGTATTATGACCTAAAACTGCCTGAAAAATAAGGGAATAATGAAGAGGAAAATAGGAGAAAGCAATTGCACTACAAGCTGAGGTGTAGTTTACCATGGCAGGGAAAGAATTTCAGCTGGATAGTTTCAGTTTTCACACTGAATGATCGACTTCTGCTGGCTTCAATACATCAAGCTTGGTTTCAACTTAATGTGGGAACTGCTTTCCTTGAATGAGGGAGCAAGAGAGGTTTGTGCTGCACGAGTAGCACATGCTCTTTTCTTCTGCTGGAAAGAACAATGCCATTTCTCTTCTAACAGTGTTTAGTGCTCAGCAGTGTCATAACCTGCTAATAAATTACTTGAGAATGTCGAGGCAGCATGAGGATGAGGCCTCTCACCCTGCTAGTGCCCAACCCTTCATCTAGCCTTGATTTTGAGGTCCTGCCCTTCTGTTGTTTGCTGAGAAATTAAACAGAGCACAAACACAAAGCTTTGGAATAATTGGCATAGAACCAGGACTACTGCATTTAAAATGTCCAATTCCTTGTGATTTTTGGAAATGTCATACATATTATGTCTGAGACAGAGGTATCCAATTTTGTATATTCAACATTTTCATTGGGCTAGGCAGCATTTTTGATGGGAATTATCCCTTTATCTGCCTAATGAAGAAAGGGTTTACGTGGCAATCAGAAAATGTCTCATTCTCATCACACACACTGTGCTCGTTATCAGTTCCAGTGCTTTTTGATTTTTGTGACAGACACAAAGTGAGCATTTGTCACTGGGAACAGGACAGTGGGGGTCCTTCTACATCTCTTCAGCCACAGCACAGGACTGGAGGGGCTTGGAGTTCTGACACCCAGGGCAACAGGACTGTCCCTGAGCCCTGACTCAGCAGTGTCTGCAATCAGAAAAGTGATGGGAGTGGGCAAGAAACACAAGACAGAGAAAGCAAGTGCTTCCTTCCAGAGCAGGAGTGTGAGTAAGCAAGCACTGGCCATGCAGGAGTTTGGAAGCTGGCAGCCAGGAGGAAAACAAATATATGTGTGTGTGTGTATATATATATATATATATATGTAACCTAACACCTGCCTTGTGCTGCCCCACAGCCTAAGGTGAGCTGTGTCGTGAGGAAGGCGTTTCCCAAGCCAAGCCTGCAGTGGTACATGGACAGAGCCAGCCTGGAGGAGCAGCCTGGAGGTAAAGAACCCATCCCCAGGGAAACAGCACAGCTGCAGGAGTGGCTCCCAGGGAAAACCATGGCTCTTAGCCACTTCTGCCACAGGGAACCTGTGTGTGTCTATGTGGCTGAAGGGGAGAGCACCAGCCCTCCTCAAAAGGAAACAGATGGAAAATGTGACCAGAGACCCCTGCCAGGGGTGTGAAATATGGTTTGGCATGACTGTCGGAACTCAAAATGTCCCTCAGACATTTTTGGAGGTTCCAGGCCCAGGTCAGAGGCATTTGAGACCCTGGCAGGCAGCTGGAAACAGCTGTGATTTTGGGTTTGAGCCATGGAATGATTTACCAACCTTGCAGGAAGAACAAGAAGCCACAAAAGTTTAGATATTAGAGTAGAAGTAGTCACGAAGTAGAGGGAAGAATTTTTGAGTGCTGTGCAGGGGGGTTTTAGTTTTGTGCATGGGGGTCAGAGGTTTTAAGATGGATTTGGGATTTGGGCCTGCCCTGTCCTCCCTCTTTGTTCTTCCTTACCTCCATGTTCTTGGTGATGTTGGCACTCACAGATTGGTTTAGAGTAGAAAATCACAATTTAATATAGGTAATAGGCATTGGGGAAAAACTGTGAACATGTAACACGTAATGTACCATATAAAAGATAGAAAATCACCATTTAATATAGGTAATAGGCGCTGGGGGAAAACTGTAAACATGTAACATGTAATGTACCATATAAAAGATAGAAAATCACCATTTAATATAGGTAATGGGCATTGGGAAAAACTGTAACCATGTAACACGTAATGTACCATATAAAAGATAGAAAATCACCATTTAATATAGGTAATGGGCATTGGGAAAAACTGTAACCATGTAACATGTAATGTACCATATAAAAGATAGACAATCACCATTTAATATAGGTAATAGGCACTGGGGAAAAACTGTAAACATGTAACACGTACCATATAAAAGATAGAAAAGCACCATTTAATATAGGTAATGGGCATTGGGGAAAAACTGTAAACATGTAACACGTAATGTACCATATAAAAGAGAGCAGCAGCCCTGGGTGGGAGAGAAGAAGCAGTCGGGGTCAGAGAGGATGTCAGGGTGTGTGTGTGCCTCTGCCTGAGCTGTGAGCAAACCACAGCAGCCCCAGGAGAAAATCTTTTAGATAACTTGCAATAAACTGCCTTGAGATCAAACAACAAGAGACTGCTGAGCTTTTTTTTGGAAGCACGGGTTGGAGGAGAGACTTTTCCAGCACACGGAGCCACCCCAAACCAGGGTGAGCTCTGGCAGCATGACCACACCGTTCTTGCAAATCTTTGACAGTGTCTCAGCAAAGAAACCTGTGGTTATATAAGCCTGCTTTCCAGTACTAATATTTTCTGACTTAGAGTTTGGAGTGTAACAAGAGCATCTTTTCTTTTTTTGTGTTTCTTTCCCAAGAAATTTCTGTGGTACAAGAAGACTTGCAAGACAGTGAAGGTTTCTATGAGTTGAGATCAACACTGATGCTGCAAGGGACCCAGAAGACACATAAGACATTCTCGTGTGTGTGTCTGTTTCCCTTCCTGGGAAATGAAACAAGGAATATTTCATCAGAAGAAATATTTGTTTCCTTCGGTAGGTTTTTCTTAGATAGGACACATCTAAAATTTTAAGAACACCAAACACATGTATTCTCTTGCTATTTAAAATATTGAAGAAATGCCAACAGTATAAAAGCTTTATTTTACAGGTTCATCACGCAGCTTGAACTCTCTGGCAGGTTTTTTTGCCTCTGAATGAGCTAAGAAACTTCTGCACAAACAGAAGAATTTGTTTGTTTAGGCAGAATCTCGCTGTACTTCCCATACCCAAAAATACTCTAACATAGCCACATGGCACTAGTGAGACATTATAATTATGTGTTTCTCATGGAGGACTCTTGGCTCCCTGGGAAATCAAATGCTCACACTCGGGGCTATGTTATACACCTTCAGTAAAACATGCAAAAGGCTGCACCTCTGTGGACAGTGGAGAAACTCCCCTATAATCTGCACTGCAAGAATTAAGTGCATGATTAGGGAAGTGGGGAGAAATACTGTCCTGCTTTTTGGTGAAAGCAGGAAACTTGGCAGTAGAGTTTTCAGCACCTCTGAAGATGCAGAGTGACTGGTGAGAAGGGCAGACAGATTTCCTTTAGCACCCTCTTGTGCATGCCTCCTCTTCAGGTGCAAATTTATATTTATACCTTTTTAATTTATTTTTTTTATTATTATGTATGCTCCCTGCTGCACAGACAATACAACTGAGCTGCTGACCCCTTAGCAGCACCTAGGGGCACATCACCTACCATGGCAACTACTTGCAGCTCAGCTGGGTTCTCTTGTGGCTGTGTATATTCCTATTGATATGTTTTTCCACAAAGAAACTCTGCAGCAAAAGCCACAGCTTACTCCTCTGGAAACACAGCTTCAGAGGGGAGGGAGATAAATCATAATTTTTTCTCAAAAATGACTCATTTCCCCCAATTTGCAGTTTTCTAGAAATGTATTCACGTCGAAGAGCTGTCAGTTAAAGCAGTCTGTGTTCTTGCCTGCAGGCTATGCTCATGCTAAGACAGTTCCACTCTGTATAAAAATGTTAAAGTATTTAAATGTGACAGAAGGGAAAGAATTACATTAATTCTCAGCCATCCCTTCTGTGAAGGTGCACAATATGACACAAGCCCAAACTAAATTTTCAGCTTTTATAACTACTTTTAAGAACTGCTTTAATTTTTCTCTTTTTTTTTTCCTGTCACAGACAATAAATCTAATGAAGCATCATCTGAAGTTTTTACAACCACCGTTTCAGATGGTAGGATAAGTTAGAGAATGAAATAGCTTGGGTTGTGTTTGAGGTGTGTTTATAAAGTCCTAAAGGTATTGTAGCACTTACTACTCTAAATGGGTAGTAAGGAACCCCTTTCTGCAGCTTTGACTTCAGAGAAAATACTACAAACCAATATTTTTGTGATGTAATCTATTATAATTAAGACCAAGCACAATTAAACTCCAGCCTTGAGGGGCACTTAATGTTATTTCTGATGCTTCAGCTGGCATTTGAATATAGCTCTTTCAGTACTGAGCTCATAAGTAAAAATAACAGCCCTGCTAATGGTTCTACCTTCTGTTTAAGCACAGAGCCAAGATCCTCAACAGTTTTGCCATGTTAAAGAATTGATATCATGTTTCTTAATATGTGTAAATTTGGTAAATCCCAGCTCTTCCCCTGCAAGTTTGTCTTATTATCAGCTTATGGGAGTCAGCATGGAGCAGGGGGTTACATGAGAGAAATGCTGTTAAGTAGGTGGCATGAAAAAAAGTATGTGTTTTGTGAACAATTTCTGCAAGTGGAAGTTGTAGCAGGCCCTGGGGGCTCAGCCAATACCCCACTGGGCACCAGAAAACCATCCCAGATATTTGGAGGGGACTCGAGAGAGGGAGACTTTTTGCTCTGCTGGCATCTGGCCACCAGCCTGCTTTGCCCTGCACGCCCTGCAGGACCCTCTGGGAGCCAGGCACATCTCAGAGAGCCTCACTGCTCTGGGTTTTAGACCTGCTGGATCTTTGGAAAGGAGTCCTTTATGGCAGCCAGCTGCTGTGAAATCCCTGCTAGTGCAGGCAAGGCTAAGCTGAAATGCAAAGGGAAGAGCCGCAGTCACAGGAGGTACAAGTGCTGGCACAGATTTTAGCTGGAGGGTGGACGGCCACCTGCCCATGCTAAAATCCAGTCTGCAGTCCCACCCAATGTCCTCCTCCAGACAGAGGTACTTTCTGGTTGCCTTCCCAGATATATTTTTCTAATTAAGTACGTGAGCTTTAATAGATCACTTCCTTCATGGACCTCTTTGGAGAGACATTATTCATCCTCCTGGTGCCTCAGGAAGAACTTTGCCTCTCCTGCTGGGGAAAAAAAAAAGAGAGAAACCAGACATCTCAGGACATATATGCTGCTTGAGCAGGATGGTGTCTCTGCTAAGCTTGCCTGGGTGGTTAAAAGAGTTTAATTCGAAGGAATAATTCCCCCTCCTCTTCTCTGAGGACTCAGTGAGCACTTTTCAGTGCAGAGTGTCTCTGAAATTTCCTCTCAGAGTTGCAGCCTCATGGATGAAACTGTGCAGGTGCCACCACCAGGTTGTAAATGTATTTTCAGTATCTGTGTCAATACGGTGCACCTCTTTGTATGGAATAAACCCATGTGATTCATTTCTGGTTTTTAAGCTGAGGTGCCAGGGGCTCCGCAGGGTTTTTCCCCAAAACCTTTGTTTCCCTAGGGATTTCTCAACACAGTTACCTCAGATATTTCATGTTTCCTTCTGGACTACTTGTCTGAGTTGTACATGGAAAGATTATTTGGAATTTAGGTCTGATATAGTTTCTTGCTCCTGAACCTTTCAATCACCTACTTTCCCAAAGCAGAATAAACACCTTTCTCATGCTGAATGTTTGCTTTGATTTGTTACAGATTTTGCTAATTCAACACTGGCATCAGCTGTCATGACAGCCTCAGGTAAGGGGGAAAATATTACCTATACAATATATGTAGGATCTCTACTTGGCCACTGCCTAAATGTCACACACACCAAGTCAGGGGTGTGACAGGCAAAGGTCAGTGTGCTCTGGTGCTGCTGCTTGGGAAATTGTGAGCTGGGAGGTCACCCTAGCAGAGTTCTGACAGAAATCTTGATAAAACTGCCACGTTAGGACAGCACATAAAACAGCATGCTGAATATTATTTATCGTTCTTACGTATTTCTATGAAATGGAATAATATGCCTATAAACTGTAAATAAATTTGTTCCCATTGTGACAGAGAGGTGTATGTGATAGACAAGTTAAAGCCATCACTTTTCCTCAACCCAACAGCAGGGCATCATTCCCATTCATTAATTATGTAATTAACTCTGCTGTACCAGAGCATGGGCGTGGATAATTAATAGAACTACCTTCAGCAATTGAGAGCAGAAGAGCAGGTGATGTCCTGGGCTGATGTGGCTGTGGCCTTTTGTCATGGATGATTTCTGCCAAGGCCCTGGCTCAGCTGGGGGAGCACCACATTCAAGTGCACACTCCACCCCTCAGCAATCAAACCAAACCCAAATTTGACTTTATACAAAGTCAAATTTGTGTGCAGAAGCAGAAATAAGCAATGCCTGCAGCCAGCCAGCAGGAAAGGGTCAGCATTGATAACATCAGCTTGCCTTGGAGTTTGAAAATGTGCTTTGAGCATTTAGCCTTAATTCCCACGGCAGGATTTCTGCTGCACAATCTGCTTTTACCCAATAGCTACTGCAAGCTCTTCAGTCTAGGTTGTTTTGTGATTTATTAACATTATTTTCTGAAGAACCTATCGACTGAATGTGATGCCATGTTAACTGTCTTTAGAGCACCAGTCGACATCTGTGGCCTCTCTGGATTTCAGAAGTCAAGCAAACTTGAGTCCTGCTTCCACAACACAAGGTAATTAAACTGTTATCTCTCTTGCTTCAACAATGTAGAAGAGAGACACATAAACACAATAATCATCTTACTTTTTTTGAAGAAAGAAATTTAATGTCCACTGAAGTTCTTTTCCTAGTGCTTTACACACCAGCCACTAATCACTGGTTACACTAGCCACTGTCAGTGTAACCACAGTTCAGGAATAAATATATGTGATAATAATGTCTTGATTTTATCTTTTTTAATGCTCTAGGATAGATTTGTTAATTTAGGCAACAGGCATGGAGTGTTATTAGTGTTTACAAAGAAGTCAATTAGTGTTATTATAGTGTTTATGAAAAATACCTACTGTCTTTAGTTAAATATCATTATGAAAAATACCTACTGTCTTTAGTTAAATATCATCCCCAAATAGAACACTGGAGGAAGATACTAAACACAAAGCTTTGGCCTGTCCCAAAAGAGTGCTCTTTGGGAGCTGAATCACTCACCATAAAGCCCAGGGGCTTGCAGAGGTTTGACTGAGATATGCCAAGGCAAGAACACAGATTGCAGCAGTGCTGAAATGAAAGTTTGCTGCTTCCCACACTGCCTTCCCCGTCTCCAAAACAGAGACACTTGCCTGGCTGACAGCAGAACAGCAAAGTTCAGGCCAAGTGGACTGAAAACCCTTCCATCTCAACAAAAAAAATTCAAAATTAAAGCTATAAATATACGATATGAAGAGAGAGGATTCTCCTCGCTGAATTATACATTTTCCCTGGTTGAGGTGGTACAAGGCCAAATTCATACTGTAAGATGGATCTGAGCCATTTTTCTTCTGCAAGTATCCTGGGAAGCAATTGCCTTTTAACCAGTGGTCCCAACGTGTGCCAGTTATGGTGTGACAGCCCTGGGCTGGCACTTCTC